TTCCACTAGGTCATTGGTAAAAAAACAGGTATTGCACCTTAAAAATTAAGAGCAGACACGGTGTAATAAATCACAGATCAGAATAAATCTATGCTGTCATCCAAGCTCATATATAAATACTAAGTCTAATTCATTTCCTTTTACATTATACGTAAAGATCTGAAGCACGTTCACACAAAATGCCAATTTCAAGAAACATCTCTCCCAAAGTCTGTCTCACACACATCCTCACACCAAGTGTGTACAAAACAACCCCGTTAAAACTCACCTTGCAACTGAATGGGCCATCTGAAAATAACAGACTTTGGGGCAAGAAAGCACCATGATGCAAACCAAATCTGTGATCTGCATTAATTCAAACACAGCCAGCCTGTCCACTGAAATGAGAACAGGTAAATCTAGAGATCAAAAATTAATAGCCAGACAGACAGGTGGATGCAAAGTCAAACAGTGGCCACGGTTGTTATTGAAATGCCAATAAATTCACAAACTTCCTGCATTAAATATTATAGTGCATCACAGCAAGAGCAAATACTATTGAAAATTCTGTCCTTTAGCTTCTCTAATATTTACCATAAAGGTCTACAAACACTCTGCTGCAGAATGTTTATAAAACAAAGGAAAACATTTCTAAACAGGACCATTTTCTAGTAGAAAATATGAAAAATTAGTCAGTCAAGGTAAACAATGGAGAATTTCTGTCATTCACATGAGGCCAAGCAGGGGCAACCCTTCCAATTAATTTTTTTTTTAACAGGTCAGAAGAGTTTAAAGGATCATATTAAACCCAAATCTAATGCACATCAAACTCTCTCCAGGATAAGCAGCGGGAGCATTCCTCCCTCATATCAATCTGCTCGCTAATCCAGATCATTTATTAAAGATGTGGATTTTGTGTCTGTGGAGTTCATCGTGTAGCATCTTGACAAAGGCACTGGCTTCTTTCTTTCACTAAATTGTTAAGTTTCAGCAGCCCCATCAGGCAAACAAAGCAGCATCGGGAATCACAACCCCGTCGCTGCAAAGGGCGCTGGGCTTCGCCGCTGAACTCGTTTCCACAGCACTCACTCCAGCACAGCCGCTCCACAGCACATCGCTCGCAGTGAGGGCTCAGCGTCTGAAAAACCTCACAAGAGGTCTGATAGACTCGGTCCCACTAAACAAACCCAGTCCCTTGGTAAAGCCTCTAAAAGAACTCAGCAGTATTTAAAATAAAACATGCAGCAGAACACGCTGGGAAGGGAAAGAAAACAAAGGCTCCCGGCCGCATCTGGACCAAATTTGACCTTTGTTAATGTATTTGCAGCAATTCACAGATGTTACACACTGCTCCGGCAAGAGGGCTGGCCTGCTGCTCATTCCAGTGACAGGTTTGGTGTAACAATGAAATATTAACAAAAACTCACAGCTGAAGGCTAAGGGTGCTGCATGGCACGTGCCCATCAGCCCGCATCGACGAGCCCAACGGCCACCAAGCAGCAGAATATATTCCCATTTTTTCCAATCAATGCCGGTTCTAGGTACATACTGACGTCTTCACCTGACATCTGCAGTATGGTTCCTTCAAAATTTCAATTAAAAACTAAAAACTAAACCCCACCAGCACTTAATTACTGAGTTTCTAGAGAATACTAATACACATTTCACTGAAAGGTAAATTGTTCTGGTTCAGTCAAATCAGGCAAAGCAAAACCCCATTAAGCTGGCCTCGGGTTTTTAAGTGAATTTGATCTGGTTATTCTTTGTCAGCTAGAGCTGTGGTGTTGGAAGTCAAGACCACTCCTCTAGACTCAGTGTTATTATCTCTCACTCCCAGCTCGAGCTGCTCAGTAGAGGAAAATGTGAAATTCTAGAAAGTATTTTTGGGGGAAAAAACAAGCCAAAACTACCAGCCACTTCACGTTGGTACAAGAAATGATGCATCAGAGAAAACACAGAAAACACACTTCAGGGCAGAGCAATGTCCAGTCAGCACTACTAATGCTACATTCCGAAATGCAACGAGAACACAAGCACAGAGCTCACAGCAGGCCAGCACCCAGCGTCAGAGTTGTCACACCTCACAGGGGCTCCAGCAGCACAGGTGTCTGCTCCCAGTGACCTCCAGACTCACAGCTCACACAACTGCCAGAGATCAGCAAATGATTTTAATACCATTATGAGAAAAAAAGGTGAGCTATGAGGAATCTGAGCAGCCATTAAAACAACTCAAGTTGTTTCCCCCATAATCCTGGCATTAACAGACTATTTGAGAAGTCTGTTGGTCTGTCAGTACCCATCCTGCTTGTTCTGGGGAGCCTGACCCTTCCTCTACAGCTGGCAGAAAGCTGGACCCTCAGCCCTGGCCCTGGCCGAGAGTGGCAGGCAGCAGACACGGCACCCAGCACTCCCCTGAGGGGAACCTGCCCCCCAACACCCACTGCCCCTTCCTCCCCTGCCTGGCTCCTGAGGAGCCGCCCTGCCAATGGCAGCAGTGCCACAATGGGAATAAATCCCTGACCGCCGCCCTCGCACGGCAGGGGTCATTCAGAAGCCCCCGACAATGCCTGCACTCAGGAGGGCCCTGGGTCCCACGCTGCTCTCACTGACACTGCCCAGCCCCAAAACGGTGCCCACTCCCCAGAGCAGCATTCTGCACACCGAGGAACTGCCTGAATTCGGAGGAGCGCTGTATGGAGCCCGCACACCGGGAGCTGCTGGAACAAACACCACGGTGCAAATCCCAGCCGGCTGAGAAGGTTTAAAATCTCAGTCCCTGGCTAAAGAAAACCTTTTCTTAAACACAGTTTCGAACACTCAGGGGTATGGCAATCTAAAGTTAAATTATTTTTACTAACCAAGGAGAACAGAGTGTTTTGTCTCACCTATTGTGTCTTTATCACTTCCAACAGTAGTTAAAGTAAATTCTCCGCGGGTCTGTATGAATTTCCTCATCCGAGGAACCAGCCCATTCAAATCCCTCAAGTGACTAAAGCGTGAACCAACCCGAGTGTCTCTTTGCATTGTTGTGGAACTGGTTTGGTATTTTATGTTAAGCCTCTGAAATACTAAAACATATCCTTATATAGGAACACTGATTAAATGGTTTTCCTTCCAAGTGATGAACTGTTTTAACAGCAACATTGTGGTTATCGCAACCAGAAAGCAATTACTTCTTTCACTAGCTGTTACTAAGAATAGCGGTGATCAAAGTGACTGGAGGAGTGCTGTTAAAGACACTGCAGAAGCATCGCTCCGTATGACACACACACAAAATATAGATCATTTTAAACCAAATTACACTTTTAATAAATGGGCTGTTCCGAATTAAATCACTGCTCAGGAATTTTTTTTTATCCACGAAATCAAGACCTATGGAATAAGTTACTCTTTGAAATCCATTTCTAACCACAGCACAGTGTGAGATCTGTGTATCTGTGCGTGTGTGTGGAAGTGCATACGTAAGGGGGTGCGTGTGGTGTGAGAGAACATATATATGTGCTTGCGCCTGCCAAGGTAGAAGTGACAGGAACTGTGATTTGTGCTAACTAGCTATTGATCCAGTCAGATCTAGATGTTGTGTACAAGAAACAATAAAAGAGAAGGGGCCAGGAAGGATGCTGTGTGCAACTCCATTTAAAAATGGAAAAGAAGGGCCCCAAACAAACCAATTTATGTCCTTGCCTGGGTGAAGCATGGAGAATGCTGATGGGCTTCCTCGGGTCTGCCGTGCATGCTAAACACTTTGCTCGAAATGAGAGTCTCCTGCACTGGGCATTAAACATGAACAAAGAGACAAACCGTGGGGGCTAGGATTCACGCTTCAGAAAGCCAAAGCTGCAAAGCCAACCAGAACCGGCGAAGGAAACGGTCCAGTTTCCAAACCAGCTCTCCCCTGATTTCCCCAACACCTTTCTTAGCAAAATTACTGAACGTGGAGGACTGTAAAAAGTCAGTCTGTACCACCAGAGGTAATGAAAACAATTTTAAACTACACTGCAGTACCAACACATCAACTTTCCTAGGCACAAATTATGAGTTTATATTGGGTAAACTGCACATATGTACTTCTAGCACACCAAAACCCAGCCGCTTGTCCTCAGAAAGCTGGTACAGCAAGTGCACCCATTGTAACATTCACACACACAGCCAGGCAGTTTGCAAAATAGGGATTTGATAAGATAAAATAGATACCAATTGAATCTATAATCATCCTTATCTTAAACATCTTTTATAATAAGGGGGTTTTCAAATAAAATATTTTTTTCCTGAGTCTGGGGAATTATGATGCCCTTTGGACACAGGGAAAGATCAAAAATGACAACTTATGTCGATTTAAAACATCTGTCAACTAAGCAAGTTTTACACTAGCAGACCCAGAGCCTTATTTTAAATTGCCTTCCAATTAAAGGAAAAAAAATCTGTTACGAACGGTTCAGTTCGGTATTCACACTGCTGTGGGCTCCAAACGCAAGCAGGGGACACCTGGACCCAGAGGGGCAGCACTGCCACCAAACGCGTTTTTGCGGTTTAGGAAAACCTCAGTCACACTTTGGGGAAAGTGGCTGGAAGGCTCGGCTGGCACCAGGCTCTGCGGCAGCCCCTTCCTCAGCACCCCGGGCTGCAGTCCCCGTCCACAGCACCCCAGGCCCAGGAGCTCAGCTGGGGTTCACTGGGAGCCCCTTTGCTCAGCACCCCCACTTGCCCACTCCCCAGGAGGCACAACAGAGGCAGAGCTGACAGCAGAGATGGCACGGGGCAGTCATCACCCAGGGCCAGTCCGGCAGCAAGCGCTTTGTCCCTGCCACTGGACCCCCCCACAGAGCTACCCAGCACCCTGCAACCCCAGCCCAGAGGGGGAAGGCGTCTTGCACCCACCAAGGTCCCCACCAAGGGTGGAGTGGGCGTGGAGACAGTGTGCACCCAGCACACCGGGGCCACAACCCCACCACATCCCCTTCCCTGAGCAGCCCACCATCCCTCCTACCCCTGCGCCAGCACCCATGTGGGACAACCGATACCTTCTTTGCTGGGGTTCGAGGGCTTGGGCTTCTCCCAGGGTGCCATGGACTTGTCCTCCTCCTGCCCTTCCATCAGGGCCTTCTCACCAGGCAGGTACCAGGTGGAGTTGTGCTCCGCCATCAGGGAGTCCAGGTCAATGGTGCTCATGGTGCCCTTGACACCCTCCGAGCAGCAGCTGCCCAGGTCACTGTCCCCATTCTGCCCCGCACACTCCCCCTTCTTGCTCTTCAGCCCCAAGGGCTGGTCTTCCGAGATGCTGAACTGCTGCCGCTGGAGCTGGATCTGTGCCTGCAGGATCTCCAGGGGGTGGATCTCATCCTGGGCCGAGGTGCTCGTGGGGGTCCGCACCTGCTCCATGCTCGGCGTGCCAGGGTGGGCGCCCGCCGTGGTGCTGAGCCCGTAGCTGTCGGGGGTCGAGGTAGATGTACTGAGGAGGCCAAGGGCCAGGGGCTTCTGTCCGTTGAGAAGTGCGTGCTCCCCACGGGGCAGCTTGGGTGAGCCACCCAACAGCGGGCTGCGGGTGGGCTTGGAGGCAGCATTGTCAGAGCTGGAGGACACCTCATCCTCGTTGCCATAGCTGGTGCTGACCTCGTCAGGAAAGTCCACGTGCGGGGAGCTGCCGTCTGACTTGGTCACGCTCTGGATTCCACTGTCCAGGGAAGACATCAGGTCAGGCTGCTCCGCCAGCAGCAGTTCACTGCCCTTGCCCCAGGAGGGTGAAGTCAGGGGCTTGTCATGGGGGGTGCCCCCACCGCGCTCAGCGCCCGCAGCCCCCGGTGGGCCCCCCGTCGTCACCGGCACCGCCGGCTGCCCCGGGCTGACACCGGCCCCACCGCCCTCCGCGGCCGAGAACTTCTCAAAGAACGTGCCGGGGCTGACGTGCCCACTGTCCCGTTTCCGGCGACCCCGACCCCGCCCGCCACCCGCCTTCCCCTCGCCACTGGCCACCGGCTCCAGAGCGTAGCCGGGCGAGAGGCTGCTCTCTGCGGGCAGCAGTGGGGCACTGCCCGCTGCCTTGCCCGTGCCACCTCCACCCGCTGGTGGCCCTGCTGGGAAGTAGTCCGGGGCGGCAGGTGGCGGGTCAGGCTCGGCCTGGCTGAGCTTGCGCTTGGCCTCGGCCGGGCTCTTCTTGTTGAAGGTGACGTTGAGGTTGGGAGCGCCCAGGCTCGCGATCATGTTCTGGCAGGCAGTGGAGAGGGCAGCCAGGCAGCTCTGCCCGAAGACGTTGTCCTTGCTGGCTGCCTTGCTGAAGGAGCCCAGCGAGAGAGCACCCAGCTTGCTGGCGGCAGGCCGAGGCGGGGGTGGTGGGGGGAACTCGGGTGGGGGTGGCGGGTAAGCGCCCGGCGAGGCGCTGAGGGCAGGTGCAGCCCCATGGGCCGCTGGCTGCCGCGCCGCCGCAGCGAAGGGGAAGCTGGGCTGGGCAGCAAAGTCGGTGGGGCCGCGGCGCTCAGTGGGGGCACTGGGCAGTGCCACGCCACCGCCCGGTGACTGCAGCTGTGAGAGGCCACCCATGGTGGGTGCAAAGGGTGGGTGGACGCCGGGTGACGGCAGGGCCTGCGCCGGCCCCTCACCTGCCATCCGCAGGGGCTCCTGCAGCCCCAGTCCACCGGCACCCGGCCGGAAGAGCACAGCGGGGCCGCCCGGCTGCAGGCCCAGCTCGTGGGGGGCCGCCTCAGCCGGCAGCCCTGGCGCTGCCAAGCGCCTCGGCAGCAGCTCCCCAGGCGGTGGTGGCCCCGCAAACCAGGCGCTGTCGGGGGCCATGTGTGGCGCCGGTGGGTCGAAGCTGCGGCCACCACCGGCCTCCCGCTCGAAGGCGGGTGGGGGCAGGCTGCCGGGCGGGCCCACCTCACCGTGGTGCCCCAGCTGCTGCAGGCTGGGCGGCCGCAGGCGCTGCTGGCTGCGCGAGGCCATCTGCTTCATCACCAGGGCCGCGTTCTGGCGTTGCGCCAGCGCAGGGTGCTCGGGGCCGCCGTGCGGCAGCGGGCCCCCAAAGGCCTCGGGCGCTGGCGGGGTGAACTCGCCCGGCAGGCCGGGATAGGCCGTCGGGGACAGGTGGCTCTCCATGGCCGGGCCGTGCATGCCACCGCCCCAGGAGGCACAGCGCTCGACGCCGGGGGTGCTGGGGAAGTCGAACCGCGGCCTCTTGGCGACGCTCACATAGGGGGCATCGAAGTGCTGCAGTCTTTGATTTGGTGGCTGTTGCGGAGGAGGGTGCTGCATATTAAACATGGGGTCGGTGTAGGGATGCATATTCCTGTTCTCCAGTCTGTGAATAGGGTATTCAAACTGTGCATGCTGGTTCTGCATTATGGGCCCATTGTCCTGCAGGTTGGGGTTGGGAGTGTTGGCTTCTGTTTGCTGTTGCCTAGGGATGGCTGGCGGGCAGGAGTTCTGTCTGGCCAGCAAGCCCGGCGGCTGCTGCGGCGGTTGCGGTGGTGGTGGCTGCTGCTGCTGCTGCATCAGCGGGTGCCTGGCGCTGGCCCCCGGCTCCAGGCTGGCCGACATCTTCCGCGCCCCCCCGAAGCGTTCGAAGAAGACGCCGTGCTGCTGCGGCGGGTGCGCCTTGGCCACAGCCATGCCCGGCGCCCGGGGCAGGGCGGGCGCTCCCGCGAAGCTGCCGCCCGCCGGCACCTGCCGCCCGCCGGCGTAGTGCGGCAGCTGCCCCTCGGGCTCCGACGGGGAGAAGACGGGCAGCTCGAAGTGGCCCGCGGGGCCGTCGCCGGGGTAATTGTATTCCAGCGAGTCCACGCCGCCCTGAGCCGGCAGCCGCCGCGGCTCCAGGCCGTGGGGCTCGGAGGAGCCGGCCGCCGGCAGCCCGTGGAAGGAGGCGGCGCGGTTGGGGGACTGGTCGAGGGGCAGGCAGGGTGCCGGCACGGCGTGGCTGGCGGCGCCAGCGCCGTGGTGCTGGAACTCGGGCAGGGTCCCGGGGCGCTGCTGCCCGAAGCCCTCGCCGCTCTGGCCCTCGGCCATGTGCTCGTAGCCGTCGGCGAACGCCGTCTGCCCGCCCAACGCGCCGCTGTAGCCCAGGAGCCGCCCGCCGTGCACGCAGGAGGCGCCAGGGTCGGGCCCGAAGCCGCCGCCGAAGTGCGGGGGATGCTGGTGCGGGTGGGGGGCGCCGCCGGAGCCGCCGTGCGACTGCTGCCCTCCGAAGAAGCCGTGCACCGGCGGCTGCATGCCGCCGCCGTGCAGCTCGGCGGGGCCGCGGCCCGGGAAGCCGTAGGCGTCCCCGGCAAGGCTCATGTTCATGCCCAGGAGGGGCGGCTCGCCCAGCGCGCCCAGGGCCGGGTCCGCCGCCGCCGCCGCTGGGCCGCCGCCGGGGAAGGCCGGCGCCTTGAAGTGCGCGCTCATACTCAGTCCGGGCTGGCCGAAGCCCCGCTCCGCCTGCCCGCTGCTCCGGCCGCTGCTCTGCGGCTCGAACTGCTCCAGCCCGAACATCCTGCGCGGCTCCTCAGCAGGGCATGGCCGCTCCGCGCCGCTCCGCCGTCCCGCTGCCCGCCGCTCCCCGCCGCTCCGCTCCGCGCCGCTCGGCCGCCCCCGCTCACATCCTGCCGCGCCGCCGGCACCGGCCGCCCGCCCGCGCTCACCCCGCCGCTCGCCGCTCGCTGCTGCCCGAGAGCCGAC